TAAAGCGTTGTTTAGTATGCCTTTTGTAATCTATGGGTAATATTTATTGATGTCGAGTATAAACACACAGTGTTGCTTTTTACATATACTTGAGAACCACTTGATTACTTCAGCGATGTTTTTCCATTGATTAAGTTTTAATTTCGTTTTTATTTCTTAGTTAATTTCATCTAGGTATGTTCTATTGACAACACCGACATCACTTTTTGCTGAATTCAATAGGTCGGAAGGTTTTTGATTTTCAAAGTTGTGTTTGTGTTTTTTAAATGTAATGAATGCCTCTGATTTGGCAATTATATTGATTTGTTTGTTTATATTTAGTTTAGTTGCAATGCTTTTTTCTTCAAGGTTGATTGAACTTTCTCGCTTTTTATGGGCTTTTTTGTATGTTTTTGTGACGTTTTCATTTAATAGTTTAAATTAATCTTTGAGGGGTAATTGGTTGATGTTGTTGGTATTGTCGGCAAATATTAGAATGCTGGGGTTAAATTTACTTTTTGATAGGTTGTTCTTTAACTTTTTTTGAAATTGGCTCTGGAATTTCTTAAACTTTATCAATTTTATTAATTTAAATAGTACTGTTTCAAAGTTCTAAATCTTTGCATTGTAGTGGCGTGTTTTTCGTTTTTAAACACAAATTTTCTTGTGTACTTGTTTCGGTTTTTGTTCATGTTGAAATATGTTTTCCAGCGTATTCTTTTTATTAGGCAATTCGAAGAGTCGCTGATTTGAGCATATACTATTTTCATGTGCACCCAGCTAATACAAAACGCTCAAGAACGTTCGACGAACGTTGTTAACGTTCGAGTACAACCTAAAAACGTTCATAGAATGTTCATGAATGTTCATAGAACATTCATGAACGTTCGCAACGTTTGTTGTACATTTTGTGTTAAGTGGGCATATACACACTACTAAAAGATAAAAAAGTATGTGAAGGATTTAATTTACCAACTACAGAGTACTCTAAAGAATGTAAGTAATTATGATTGTGAATACTTTTGTTTGTCTTTTGATTTAACTTTTCTTTGTTTTTTATATGGTAAAGAAGAAAAAAACACCCAATAGTAACTATTGGTCAAAACTGATTTCAATAATAATGTCTAAATTATTTGACTTGTGGTAGTTTGATTACCAGTGTGAGTTTATTAAGTTGAGGATTGATATGGTTTTAACTGGTTTTAATCTTATGGACAAAGAACATATCATATATATATATATATATATATATATATATATATATATATATATATATATATATATATATATATATATATATATATATATATATATATATATATTTATATAAATATATATCAATATATATATATATATATATATATATATATATATATATATATATATATATATATATATATATATATATATATATATATTTAAAAATATTAATGTTTTTTTATTCTTGACATGTTTCGTAAAATTTATTTACATTTTCAGAAGATTATTTTACAATAATAAAACTCTGAAAAAAAAATTAAAATTAAAAAACAGAAGTCATTATAGATAAAATAACCAACAAAAATTTTTATTATAAACCAATATATTTTTTACAAAATAACTAACTGTAAAATATATATATATATATATATATATATATATATATATATATATATATATATATATATATATATATATATATATATATATATATATATATATATATATAAATAATATTAAACTGACAGTAAAATTAAATAGTTAAGTTTATAGCATAATGTGAAGTTTGTTTATTGTTTGAGAAACTTCCCCATTTAATGAAGAGGACTTCTTTTATCTTTAATTTGTGTTTTGTTTGGGCGTTATCCAAAATCTCAAAAAAATCACAGTTAGCCAGATTTTTCAAACTAATAGAAAAATTTAAGTGTTTGAATATATGAGATTGTTTATCACTTTTAAGGTGCTCATTCATTCTGGTTGCCAAATGTCTGGAGAAGCCTCCAGATGTTTGGCAGACATTTTTTCAGAGTTTTATTATTGTAAAATAATCTTTTGAAAATGTAAATAAATTTTACAAAACATTAGTGACCAGGGCCTTGGGCACAGCTAAAAATGAGACATTTTGCAAAGCTATCCCCGCCAAAAATTATAAGATTTAGCATTGGTTGATAGCCGGGGCTAGAAAAAAATAATACTTAATATATTCTAATTTTATGCTTACGTTTACTATTTAATAAATACTGGCAAATATTTATTTATTTTAAAATCTAATTTACTTCCAACAAGATTGCAAGCAACCACTATTATGTAATGTGTTACTTTCAAATAGAGAGCCAGTTAAAATACTTGAAAACCTATATCTAAAAACATAAATATTGTAAGTTGTATAAAAAAGGAAAACATAAAGTTTTGTAAGAGTTCTAAGATTTTTTTGATGTTCAAGGAAAAAAATTGAATTATTTATCATGATGTAAAAAGATTTTATAGCATGAAGGGACAAATACAGTTAAAGGATGCAATTTGATGAATAAATAGCCAATTGAGAATGAGTTTTGGTTTATCGTTATAGAGATGATAGTTTGTTTGAGCATTGACTATGATTGTATTTGTAGAAAAAAGAAAGAAATACAACCATATAACTATGGGAGAGTGGTCCAACCTTGGCAGATAAAGCTGATCTTATTACGTTTACAATGTGCTTTTAGACTTTGTCTGAGAGTAAGAGGGTTGTTATTTGTCACTATAGGAATGCCAGCAACATTGTAATATTTTTTTGCTGTTAATCAATGAGTTTTGTTGTCTAACAAAAATTGTGGATTTTAAGTCCAGAATTTAAATCTATAAGCCGCAGCAAGCCTTAGGCTGTTACAGGAATGAGATAAGATTTAAAATTAGCTGCTTGTTCTAAGCAATTAACGATGAATTTTTTCAAGACAAGAGTATAAAATGGAGTCATCAGCAAATATAGAGTCACTTTAGATTTCATTATGATTGTTATTATAGATAAAAAATAATAAAGGAGGAAATATAGAACCTTGTGGTTCTCTTAAAATTACTTGAAATAAAAAAGAGGGTAAGCCTTCAAGAATAACATTACTACTGTAGTTAGAAAGAAATAAGTTAATAACCTCAAAACCTTCACATAGAAAATAATTAGAAACTGATAAAAGAGTGAAGAGTATTCGAATGATACTTGGAGAGGTCAAGGTGTTTTCTTGAGTTTTGAAAAATTACAACCATGTATTTAGTACTTTTTAAAAGTTTAGCAAAAATTGTTGAGAGTTCTGAAAAACACTTTATTAAGACTATGATGGAAATCATGTCTGAAGCACAAACGGTAGAAGTGTTTATTTAAGAATTAATTTTAGTATTGGATGCCAGAGTAATTTTGATGTTTAACAATAGATAATTCTGTTCAACTGTCATTATATTTGAGAGTCAAACTAGAGTAAGATTTCATTGTAAATAGCTCTAATTTACTCAGGGGTAAACGTTAGACTTACTTGAGTTAATAACGCTGTTAAAAACTAACCAAAAGTTTCTAGAACCTATCATTTAAGATAAGATACAAGGTTTAGTAAATTGAGAATAACAGAGATTTACATTAGACAAGACTTTATTTATACATTTGCTTATTGTAATAATAAAAACGACACCTTGCATATTGTATAAATGAGCTTTAGTTAGGAATAAAAGTGTATTAGATTGTTTATATTAGGGAAACAGCTTAAAAGAGGTAGGATAAAGCCTAATGGTGATAATGATGATAATAAAGATGATGATCATGAACATGATAATGATAATGATAATGATGATGATGATCATCATGATCATAATTTTTCTTATCATCGTCAAGCTTTTATGCTGTTGATGATGATGATGATGATTATGATGATCATGTTGGTCACAATGATGTTCATATATGCATATGTATACAAAATATACCATGAATTTTAAACTTAAAAAAAAACTTTAGTATGTATAAATGTTTATGCAGCACCAATCACAAACCTGGCCCCGGCAATTTTTATCAAACCTGGCCCCATCCCCGTTCAAATATCAACTTCGATCGTTTACAACAAAACATTTCAAGAATAAAAGACATTGTATATATATATATATATATATAAATATATATATATATATATATATATATATATATATATATATATATATATATATATATATATATATATATATATATATATATTTATGTATATAAATTATTTATATATTTATTTGTCTTTCTTTTTTAGGTTTAATAAAGATCATTCTAATTCAAGAACACTTTTTCAAACATTTGCTTTTAGACTGCTAATGATACAAATTTTTTTTTTTGATTTAGGAGCCGTTTTTTCTAAGAATTAGGCAAATTCCTGAAACTGTGGAAGTGACCTCGTCCAAATTGCTTGAATTTTTTATGTATTGATCAAAATATAGAGAAAACCTGTCCGGGAAAAAGAAATTTTCAAAAATGTTTCGTTCACTTGGAATCTAGGCTTAAAATTTTTTAGATTTTTTTAAAAATATTTAGAAATTTAGTTTTTGCCACCTTTGAACCCATTTTTTTGGCAAGGCAAAAAGTTGCACATAGCTTTTGTAGTTAATATCAGACGTAACCCAAAAGCTCTCTCTAAAAAATATAGAAAAATTGCGTGACACTGTGCGGTTGGCTAGTTATCATAGTTCAAAAGTACAAAATCAATCAGTTTTGTCAATTTTTAATCGGAGTTAATTCTAGCGGCGAAGTGTTGCACACAATTTTTATTTTAGGATTTGCAATTATCAAAGGTATTGAGTCTAAAAATGCAAAGAAAGTTATGTGATACCTAGGCCTATAAATATATTAAGGCTTGAAATAGGAAAAAAATGTTTTAGTATACTTACAAAATGAACCATTACGGCAGAGGCGCTTAGTTTTGTAAAAATGTAAACATATCCAACTGTCAATACAAAAAGGTCCTAACATAATAATAAAAAAAATTCGTGTGATTTTGTCACACGCATGATATAACATAAATTAAAAACTGAACAAAAATCTTACATCAAGATAACTATATTGCTAATTAAATAAAACATAAATCAAACATGTAAATGTTTTTCCATTTAAAAATTAGTTTTTCATTTATTAATAGAGTCATTTACACACATTATCCACCACATCACACATAATTTCTACTTTGCTGCAGTAAGTTTCTCTAAGAATAATGATATGACTGTATTATAGTCTTCTTCGGATAATGAATAATCGCCACAACCACTGATTAGAAAAGGAGCATTTACGAAACAGATAATTTTATCAGTTTGGTTATTTATCTCCTCGGTAGTAACTGGCCAGCGAAAAGTATTCTTCTCTTGCCCGTTAATCATACAATTAACTCTGATCCCAGTTATAGATACCTAAAAGTATTAGCGCAACATTTAAAATAATATAATAAAGAGTTTATGATTTGTTTAATTTTGCTTACATTCAATAAAACTTGTTAAGTCTTATATAATGTCATTCTGAAATTATTTTTACATTTTATTTATATTCCTTTTATTTTAGAGCACTGTTTTGTAAAACAAAATAAAAACTTGAAACTAATATATACTTTGAATAATATTACCTCCACAATATATCCAATATTCCATTGTTTTTCATATGCAACAGCAACCCAATCATTCACTTTCCATACAAGACAAATTTCTTTTGCAAGGTTGGCGATGTCTTCCTCATATTTATTATCATCTTCATTGTCTCCTGTCAGATTAAAGTCATCATTTTCGCCATAAACTTCTTTGTTATCGTTAACCTGACTATTTTCATTATTTTCTGTTGTCGGTTCTACTAGCTTACCTTTTCTTTTCAGGTTACTAAATCTATAACAATATCAATTGTACATATTTTTAAACATATGTAAACAAACACACAAAATTATAACTTTCACCTAAATTTTAATTTCATATTTGTAAAAGAACTATTTAACAGTCAGAAACATAATCTAATTTGCAAAAGTTTTGATAGCAACAATGCCTATCTTTAAAATAAAGATCTTATCTGTTGGCTAGTTACATATTGATCAGGCGGAAGTTCTCCTCTCAGCTGCATGTGAACCTGCTCAGGGCTCATTTTATTACCTAATTCTTCTCCACGAATAAAGTATTTATACAACAGTTCTTTCTGCTGATTTGAAAATCTAAAAGAACTTCGAACTGGTAATGCCCAACCTTGCAATAGAAAAATTTTCATGCAATGTGGTTTGTCTTTTACGGAAGCACTGTTAGAAGATGAAGAAATTGGCATATTTAGTTGTGAAGTAATTTTCATCTTATGAACAAACGAGTTGCGAACTTTATCCAATGATGTTAATGATTTCGGAACTGTATGAAGACCGGATAGCATGTGTTTTTCTAACTCAGCATCGCTTTCAAATGATAAAGTACAATTCATTTCAGTGCAAAATCTTAATGAATATAATTGCCTGTCACTTCTTTTCTGTTTTTCCTTAAGTGACTTGTTACACTTAATTGAATTATCTGTTTTGCTATATGGCAACAACAACTTAATCGAGGGTTGAATTTTAAGATTTCCATACTCTTGATCAATTCCCTCACCGATATTGAAAAAACGCCACATCTTCATACTTTTCTCACCAAGCTCAAATGAGTGATAGTTGCTAATGTTCTTAATCTTTGGTCCAGTAACTACAGTTTTATCATTGCTAATTTGAGCAACTGCTACTTTTTCATCTTTAGCGCCAAAACTACAATGCATAGCCTTGTGTATATCTTCAGCAGTCAAAAGATTATTACCAGAGTCAACGTAACTCCTTAAAATTGTCTTTACAACTGCACTCTCCCTGTCACATTGATCTTTTCCACAACAGGGTTCATTATAATTTTTTTTTTTTTTTTTTTTTTTTTTAATTTTACATTTGTTGGTCGTATTACAACTATATATTGCCAAAAAAAACAAAATAAAAATAATGATGATAATAATAAACTTTCACAAATATAAAATAAGGTATCTGAAAGAAGATCAAAGGATCTTGTCGTCAGAACCTTAAATAAGTTCAAAAAAGCATTAACAGTATATATATAATCCAAATATATATTTTATAATCCAAAGAGAGATCACGCGGATCTACTCACTAATATTTTATATAAACGTATACGTGAAGTAAAGAACATAAAATCAGCAAAATAAGTAAGAATAAACTTTTTACAAATATAAATAAGAAAAGGCAAAGTTATACATATATATTATTAATAATAACATAATACGTCTTCTAATGAAAAAATAAGGGTTTTTAATTTACTTTTAAAAAAACGAAAAGTAATGGGTAGTTCGAAATCAAAATTGGGCTAAACAATTTTATTCCAAAAGTGTGGTGCCCGATAGACAATACAAAATTGATTAAAGTTCGTTTGACAGAAAGGTTCATTTAAAAAATCAGTATTTCTCAAATTGTATTTGTTGATGGGTTTCGGAGTAAAAATATCTTTGAAGACAGATTGAGACAAGTCATTTTTCCACATGTATACAAAGCATAAAACATTATATATATTTAGCTCGTATATATTGAAAATTCTCATTTCAATAAAATAATGTTTTGCGTGAGAAAAGCGATTTGCAAAGCAGATTAAACGGATAGCATGTTTCTGACGGCGATAAAGACGTTGCAACTTACTTTTTTCTGTACTACCCCAGGCGATATTAGCATAATTTAAATAACTGTGTATAAATGAATAATAAAGTTTGATTAAAATTTTCTTATTGAGGTAGATTCGTACTTTATATAAAACTCCTATGTTTTTTGAAATTTTAGTGCTTATTAGTCGATATGATGATTCCAAGTGATGTTTTCATCAAGGTAAACACCTAAAAATTTTGTTACGGAATCCCTTTTTATTTCATTTTGATCAATAAAAATTTTAGGTACGTTTAATGGCAAATATCGTTTTTTGGAAAGCGAATGGAAAAAGGTCCACTTTGTTTTATTAGAATTTAGAGTTAACTTATTACATTTAAACCAACTCGATACATGTATAAGCTCTTTGTTCATTGTTTTAAAAAGTTCAAAGATATCACTGTTAGAAAGAAATAAGTTAGTATCATCTGCAAACATAATACTTGTTAGTTTAGAGGCTTTATTTAAATCATTAATATAAATTAGGAAAAGGAGTGGACCAAGAATTGAGCCTTGTGGGACTCCACATGTTATAGAAATACAATTGGTGTGATAACCGTTATTACTCGGAACAAATTGTTTACGATTTGACAAATAGCTTTCAAACCATTTTAAAACTTTATTTTTTATTCCATAGTGTTTAAGTTTATGGATTAGAATTTGGTGGTCAACCGTATCAAAAGCTTTTGATAGATCAATAAAAAGTCCTAGAGTATGTTGTGATTTTTCAAATGATTTTGAGATTTCCCGTACAAATTGGATAATTGCATGTTCAGTTGAGCTATCCTTTTTAAAACCGAATTGATTAATGTTAAGTAATTTATTAACATGAAAATATTTGTATACTCTGTTATATATAATTCTTTCTAAAATTTTCGAAAAGTTGGAAAGAACAGAAATAAGGCGATAATTACTTATAATTGATTTGTCCCCTTCTTTAAAAATAGGAATAATTTTGGCAATTTTTAACAGTTCGGGGAAAACACCTTGATGGATAGAAGCTTTAAAAACTTTAAAAAGAACAACTTTTAGCTGTTCAAAACAATCTATAATAACGTTTCTATTTATTTGATCTGCTCCAACTGCTTTATTTTTTTTTAAAGATTTGAAGGCTCTTTCAAACTCTTCAAACAACAATTCAGAAGACAACTCAACTGAACCAATGCAATTATCAATGGGTACTAGAAAATCAGTAAATAAAGATTTGGTGTTTGGGATTTTTTTAGAAAGTGTTGGACCTATATCGATAAAAAATTTGTTAAATTCTTGAGCTATAGTTCTTGGTTCGTATAAACTTTTGTTATCGACTCTAACCATTTGTGGCAGAAAACCTGAGCATGATTTTTGTTTTCCAATAATTTCATTCATTATTTGCCATGTGCGTTTTGTGTCATTTTTAAATGTATTGAGTAATTGGGAGTAATAATTTTTTTTAAAATTTTTGCGAATTTTTTCAAATAGGTTTTTGTAGTCCTTGTAAATTTTTTCGTTTTTAGGTGTTTTTGTTTTCAAAAAATTTATATATAGTTTTTGCTTAATTTTGGGCAATTTTTTAAAGCCCTTAGTGATCCAGGGTGTATTTAAGCTCTTAGTAGTTATTTTATTTTCAATGATTGGGAAGTTAGCATCGTATACAGAAAAAAATGTTTTGAAAAAAGACTCATAGATATTGTTAGCATTATCATTAAAATTTATGTTATTCCAGTGTAGTAATGAAAGTTGATTTTTGAATAAATTAAGGTTAGCCTCATTATAAATGCGTTTTCTAATTACTCTTTGTGCGGTTAAAGTTTTTTCAGAGTTTGTATTATCTAATTTTAGGAATATAGGGAAATGATCTGATATATCGGTTTGCAAAATACCTACTTTTAAATCATTGTTAAAAATATCTGAAGTTATTATATTATCTATTAGAGTTGCTGAATTTGTCGTTACTCTTGTAGGTTTGTTTATTAAAGATACTGATCCCGTTTCAAAAACTTCATCATAAAAATTTTTAACTTTAAGGTTATCATTATAAAGAAAACAATTCATGTTTAAATCTCCAATTATAAAATTTTGTTTTTTTTCAACGGTACCTTTTTTAATAATTTGTTGTAAAAACATGCTAAAGTTTTCGCTTACGCCATCAGGTGGCCGATAACAACAGCTTAGTAAAAAATTTTTTTTGCAGTTAGTAATTTCTATAGTTGCAATTTCTTTATCGCAGTCAGAAACGCTCAAATCATGCCTAATACAAAGCTCAAAATTTTCGTGAACATAAATTAAAACTCCACCACCGCGCTTATTTGTTTTCCTTTCCATTAAAAATGTATTAAAATGAGGTAGGTGAAAATTATTTAGGTCTTCTAAAGAAATCCAAGTTTCTGTTAAACAAATTATATTAAAAACATGTTTATTTTCTTCTAATAAGTCTAAAAGTTTTTCAAAATTGCTATTTAAGCTTCTTATATTGAGGTGGAGAATTAACATTTGATTATTATTTCTTTCATTCTCATTCTTAAAAAGAAACCCTTCTAGTTGGCTAGGAAAGTAATATGAACAATCTGAAAATTTATTGTGATAAATATTGTAATCAGAGTCTAAATTTTCATTTAACGTAGAGTAATTTGTTTGTTGAATTTTAAAAACACGAGATTCAAAGTTTTCATTTGTAGCCATGATTAATATATTTTATTTAAGATTTCTTTTTAGGAATGCCCATAAAATTATTCGATAAAATTGTTTTTAAAAGAAGTTTTAATATAAACAATTTTGTCATACCTTACCGCAACACTTTCACCATTCAATCGCCTTTCTTTCACTTCAGCGAACAATTTTTTTCGAATAGCGACGGTTTCTCGAGAAAAATCTTCGTTCACGAACGTATTTGTGCCTTTGAGTCGATACAATTCCTTCAATATTCTTATTTTGTCTTTATATTTCTGAAGATTTAATATTATAGTCCTTGGTCGCCCATCGTTTTTTCGTTCAGTACGGTGAGCTCTTTCAATTTCAACATCTTTTGGTCCAAGTTTTTCGGTGAAGAATGTTTGGACTTTTTTTTCTGTATCCCCCCATGATTCTTTATCATTCTCGTAAATTCCTTCAATCCTAAGATTGTTTCGGCGCAATCATAATCATATCTCAGCAATTTTATATCTCTCTCTTTGCATACATTGTAGATTGCTTCAGCTGAAAGATTTCCCTGATAGCAGCCGGCATTATCAGATTTGGTAAACATTTTCTTGATATGCGGTTGATCAATTCTGAATTGGTCTAAAACTGCAGTGGCTAACGAAACAACATCACCTACTCCCTGATCACACCTATACATTGAAGTAAAGTAAACATTGTTGTTATTATTAAAATACAATATTGCAAGAGTGTGATTAATTTAGTGATTATTTATTAAAAGAGTGAGGAATTAATTAAAAGAGCTATTTTTTTTTTTTGTTTAAAGAACTTTGTCTCAAAATCTTATTGCAGAGAAGTTATAAAGTATGTAATTATAAAAATTATATTACAGTCTGCGTAAATTTAAAATACATAATTACCTTTAAGTTGATGAGGTGTTTCTTAACATCAACATCTCCCAGCTGATGAATGTAGAACATTTTGTTTATAATTTTATATTTTTTGAATGATCCACAATTTCCTTTTGAAAAGCAACAACAGTTTTCATAAAAATATTTGTTTTGTTCCATACTCAACTAAAAACAAGTTCTATTTATGCAGTACCTATTTCTCAATAGCAATGATAAAATATTTACTGTATTTATGCAAATTTTAAAGATCGTTAAAATAAAGTTAAGACATTTTTATGGTAAAGTAAACAACCGCCCACTAACTTGTTTCTCCACAATCGTGATATCAGCGATTCTTCTTCCATTCGATCACCACAAGTTATTTGGTTATGACGTAAATTTAAATAATTCACTTCTGATTACGTATTGTTTTTTATTATTATTTATTTTAATTGTTATGATTTCTATATCATAGTCAGAAACGCCTAAATTTTTTCTTAACATTACGTGCAATGTTTTGTGTAATGCTAATTGCTAATTTTGGATGATAAAAATTTTATTGTGAGCGAAAACCTCATCTGTGTGTCCAAAAAAAATATCTCATTGTACTTAATCATTTTTAACAATTTGTACCTTTATTTTTAACTTAATATCTAAAGATCAGATGAGTTTTTTTTAAACTATGTTAAGGTCATCT